CACGCACGCACGCACGCACACACACACACACACACACACACACGCACACGCACACACACGCACACACGCACACACGCACACGCGCGCGCGCACTTATTGGAAAGCTGAATGCCGACGTACTGGTACATGCTCTGCTACACAAAGTCGAGAATGCAGAAGTGCAGATGTAGTGGAAAGCGCCAAAGGTGCGGATGCAGAGTGTTGCAAGGCTTAGTTGACGATGCAAGAACTGCTACCAACCATGTGCACATTGCATGAGCATGGAGCATTGAATAAGTTGCGAAAGCCGCGCGGGAATATCTTTGTGGACATGGCGCGACTCTGCGACAAGCAGCATGGCTCGCGGCTGTTTGACGAACCCGAACACAAAAGCCTTGAATCCCGAATCCATGCAACTTCCCCCCCCCTTCGCTACCCAAGAAGAGCCTTTCAGCCCCGTGAAGGAGTTGGTGGGTCCATCTTCGCTGGTTGCAACTGGCTGGTACATGGCCCCCTGGGAAAGGGGAGTTTGCCCATGTTACAGCAGCCAGGGGGGGGCTCTATGCAGAGGGAAGAGCTGCTGACCTCAAGGAGCCAAGCGCCACTTAAGGCACGTAAGGGGACGGCTATTGGTAGACTCCCAAGCTCCCTCCCTTCAAAAATCTCCCCCTGGAGGGCCTAGAAAGAAGCTACGTTAGGTCAGACAAGTACCAGAGGCGTAGCCTGTTTCTGCATTCAGCTTAGGGTTCAGTGAGTCCTGAAGCACGCTGGCTAGTTCCTGCCCGAGCAGTTCTTCGCAAGACAGTCATCCCATCTTCCGGCCTTTAGCCGGCAGCGCTCCCGGCAAACTCGAAGATTCCGAGTCCAAGGGCTCCAGTGTTGCTTCTAAGTTGGCACTTAGATGCCCTACCGAGTAAGGTACTCTTGAAGGAAATAAGGGCGAAAATGAACTCTTCCAAGGGCTCACCTACTCTTTGATTTCACCTCAGGGAAGTCCTGCTTTGTCTCTTCCCTCATGTATGCGCAGAGCTAGCTGCTGCGGCATGAATGAGAAGGCTGCGCAGAGTTTGGCTCCTACTTCATTTGGGGTTTAGGGCTACTTGAAGGTGGATCCATGCCAGGTTGCGAAATGCATAGGGCTTCTGCCTCTCGGAGGCTACCGCATGTCAACGTGATGAACATGTTCGCAGAGCTGTCCTGATTCTGAGCCCCCCATGCAAGGTCCCCCGAATTCACTTACACCCAGCCCCTCAAACACCATCAAGCCCTAAACCCTAAACCCTAAACCCCTAAACCCCTAAACCCCTAAACCCCTAAACCCCTAAACCCCTAAACCCTAAACCCCAAATCGCAAAGCACCACATGAAGTCCCTTCCCCAGGCTCTGGAACCCTCTTCTTTGCGCCTCCATGAACCTCGAAGCCAAGATGTAGTGAAGCCTCGGGTCAGCTTGGGATTCCATCTGCTTACACAATGAGTATATTTATGTATGTATATGCATATGTACGTGTATGTGTACGTGTGTAATACTATACACGATATATGATATTCATAAATAGACAACTAATATTAGTGGATTTGTATTTATATTTTTGACACTAGGCTGAGTTTCCCCTGAAAGTGAGACCTGTGTTGGCCACCCTTGCGTGGTTGGGGCTGAAGGGCCGAAGAACTTTTGGGAAAAATGGAACCCCCCCCAGGAGATCAGCCCGCTTGTGCGAGGACAGTGCACAGAAGCAGTCACTGAGACGATGAAGCACGGTTGCAGGTCCATTGCAAGCGGCCAAGTCGGCCATCCACGGCATCAATCATTGGTGTGTGACAGAAAGTTGTGAGGGCTCCAGTCCCTCAAAAAGCCCGAATGTGGCATTCATAGTGACAGCAAAGAAATATAGCGGTGGCAAAAACCTGCAAATTCCTGGCAGAGCTGCCCGACCTCCGGAATCAGAAAGGCAACATCATGACAACATTCCCAATTTCCTCACAACAAGGACGTTTCAGCAGCTTTTGTGGTAGCTTACCGCAAGAATCGTTGAGAAAATCTTAGATTTTAAGGGTTTAGCCGCTTAGTCCCGCTTGGGCCGAGGGGCGCCGCGAGCGCCGCAGCGCCGGCAAAAGCTCGGCGGGGTGCCACGCCCCGTCGCCCGATCAGGAGCGTGGCCTCAGGCGACGCAGCCTCTCTTCTCCCCTCTTTCTCCTCTTTCTCTTTATCTCTCTTTCTCTCTTTCTCTCTTTCTCTCTTTCTCTCTTTCTCTCTTTCTCTCTTTCTTTCTTTCTTTCTTTCTTTCTTTCTTTCTTTCTTTCTTTCTTTCTTTCTTTCCTTCTTTCTTTCTTTCTTTCTTTCTTTCTTTCTCTCTCTGTGTCTGGGGGCGAGGGGGGGCGACCCCCCGGGCGTCATCGCCCGCCCCTGTATTTGGGTCGGCTCGGGAAGAAGCGGCAGGTGCCTGGGTTCGTATGTGTGCCCCCCTTCGTCTCTCTCTCTCTCTCTCTCTCTCTCTCTCTGTCTTCTTGTTTTTTTTTTTTCGCTCCCTGTCTCCCTCTCTCTCTCTCTCTTTTTCTTGTTTTTTTTGTTTTTTTTTTCGCTCCCTGTCTCTCTCTCTCTCTCTCTTTTTCTCTCTTTTGCTCAAGGGACTTGGGGCTTCATGCTTCTCGCGCGCCCCGGATGTGCGTTGTGACGCGCAAACGAGACTTTCTCTAGGCCTTCAGGCGGGAGAGGTCCGACATGGTCTTATCCCCTTAGATTCCGAGAAAGCTTCGTGGGCAAAACCATACCACTTTCCGAAGCGTGGTCGAAAGCTGCTGTTGGTAAGTTTCAAGCTGTGGTAGAAGCTGGACTCGCAGTGGCGTCAAAGGTTCAAGATGAGGGTTTGAGGTTCTGCTTCGTGCTGAGGACGTCGAATGAAACAGAGTTCTTGTGATGTTGCAAGCGAAGCCTGCTTGGGATTGCTTTGAAACCCTCACTTCTGCTGTGGTCAGTCTTTCTTACCAAGCTCTCCGATTCTGACCTTGCAATGCCTCGCTTGTAAGCCCGAAGACCTCTCAAACCAGCAAAGTTTGCAGTCGGGCTGAGGGGCTTAGAGTTGTGTTGGGTCATCCTCGAACCCGAAACCCATCGCAGCCATTCCCCATCCGAGCATTCGGCGAGTTGGGGCATCAGGACGAGGGCCACCCCTTGCAAAGAGGCAACGTGGCAACATGCAGCAGACGCAGGCTTCTAAGTAGAGATGAGCTGCAGACACAAACTTGACACGACTAGGAGTGTTTATGAGCCTCTAAGCCCTAAACCCTCCGAAAACCTCAGTAGCCGCGACAGCTGCAACGGTTTGTGGATGCTTTTGCGGGTTGGCTTGCAGTTGAAATTTCAATGCGTTGAGCCAAGGTTTAGGGTATGGAGGCTGCGGAAGCTAAACATTACATCATAGACCTCGCGGGGCCTGTCGCCGCATTGAGGGAGCCCAGCGCAGTCGTGTACCCAGGCCCTCATACAAGGTGCAGGCTGCAAGGATAAAATCAGCTGTCGGCTGGCCATGACAAACGAACGCTGGAGTTGTAGGCAGGATTGCGTATTGAAGCACTGAACAGTGCCGACTGGGAGACGTAGTAATTCAGTTGAGCGAGATTAATCAGCTCCTTTGAACATGGGGGCCAGTCAGCAGCAAAACTCTGACGAAGTGCTGTCAAGGCTTCAAGACTTTCATGCTTGGCCTACTTCCTAAACCCTTACTTTCTTCGAAACTCACCCAAAAAGAACACCCTGGGCCGGCCGTCGTAGAGGTCGGCCAGGCAGGTCATCGTCATCGTTGTCCCACAAAGCGTGCGGAGCGAGTCCGTGACAATCTGGGTCAGGCCATCGGAGTTTTCGGGGCTAAAAGGCCCCCCTCCCCCCCTGGCCACCAAAAAGAGCGCCTTTTCTGGGCGCTGCCGAAAATTGGGGACCCTGAGCCCTAAACCCTAATCCCGTTTGGACCTATATTGGGTGCCTTGGATGACCTCCAGGTCAACCACCACGAACAGCGAAATGTGTGTTTTTTAGGGTTTAGGGTTTAGGGTTTAGGGTTTAGGGTTTAATGGCGACGGCGCGAACCGAACATTTTTTCGTAGGCCAAGTTGCAGGAAACCGTGCAGCCGAGAGGCCCGCTCAATTTGCAGGAACAGCGGTGTGGGAAAACAAAAGGCTAGCAGCTTCAGCGGCAGGGACACCTGAAGAGGTAAAGGGCGTCAGGGAAGGAGACATATAAACATATGCGGATGTATGTATATATATATATATATATATAGGCATAAGCTACAAGATAGTCATCAGTCGCCCAAAGCCCGATTCGATTCATTCACATCTTGTGCGTGCGAGAGTCCGCAGGCAGCAAAAACATCATTGGCCTGCCAGAGCTGTTCTTTCAGATTCGGAGTCTTCAGCGCGGATGCGGGGTAGGTCCGAAATTCACGGAGTACTGCATTGTGTATGTGCATGTCTGTGGAATGTTCTCTACAGCTTACTGCTACTGCTACCACGACTACTGGTGCTGCCAACTTGAATGAACACCAGTTAAGACCAAATTAGAATTTACGGGATATGAAGTAGTTAGTTCAAGCTCGAGTTTTAAGCAGATAAGTGCATTTTGATACTTTTCATTCCGCTTAGTTCAAGTCTTTGCTTGTAAAATGCCGTTGAGCATACTTGCAACACGTTTGAGAAACGTGCAATGACAATGTGACTCTCACTACATCACATTTCCTTGAAGTTTAGGAAAAGCCGTAAAGCTGAATTTGATGCGAGTTAGGATTTCATTGATTTGACGAGTTGCCAGCGATATCAAAGTCAGGGAAAACAACCGAAACACCAAGAACCCCCTCCCCCCCCCCGCCCCCCGCACCTGCACAAGCTTCACAAGGTCACAAGCAGAATGTGCAAGAAACTGCCCTAAATATATACCGTACACCCAAAAACCCTGAGCTCTAAAAATGGAGCTCCTTCGCCCGAAGCAATCAGAGGCCCGGCCAGCCAACGGCGACAAGGCCTTGGAATGGGAAGGAAGGCCGCAGGACGGCTCGGTGATTTTGAGTTCCGAAGGAAGGCCAGGGGGGGGTAGCTTCTGGGGGGTTTGGGGTGAGCAGCTGAGGCGGCCGAAAGGCTGTGTTTCTGCACTTGTTGGCAGTTTCAGAGGCCTGAAAAGTGCGGTTCTCAGAAGTTAAGGGTTGGAATGAGAAGTGGAGTGCAGTGGGTTTTAGGGTTTAGGGTTTAGGGTGATTGATGGAGAACGCCCGGGTGAAGCCACTTGCAATGGACCTGGAAGTTTTCGGGTTTGGAAGGTGCTTTTCCTGCAGGAACGGTTGAAATTGGCTGAAGATGGGTTTCTACTGTCGAGATTTCGCAGCTTGCTTATGTCTGAAAGTCATGGGCAATGTTTTGACGTTTGCGGGAGCAAGCTTGTCGGCTATTCTCATGCTATGTGAGGCAGATGCTCCATAAATAAACAAGATTTCGTGAAGCGAGATGGCAACACAGGTCACTGTTTGGTGTCTGTCTTGCAAGAAATGCACTGGCATTTGAGGGAACTTCTCCCTTGTCCCCTGTTGATGAGTGTCGAAAGCCAACAAAACCACAGGAAAGATGGCAGCGGGCTGCAAGCACTGGCCATCTTTCGCAGTGCTCAGGACGGTTGTTTCAGAGATGCGTTTTTCAAGTCCAATGCTACGAGGCTGCACGCAACTAAGAACCCTGGACCCCCAAGAGCTGAACCTGAATAGCTGTGAAAGCCCCGGGGCCAAATCCAGGATGGACACGATGGCGCTTCCGACGCCTGGCAGTGATGAACGTGTGGGTATCTTGGGACGAAGCGGAGCACCCTCAACCCTAAATTCTTGAACCCTAAGGCGGACAAAAAGCACAGAAAGGAACAGAGAGTTCCTTCTCACAGCAGCTCCGCGATTCTGTGGAGTGCTTGGCTCCGCTGCAGTGCGTTACACAAGCAGTCGGGGTTGCCTTGGGCACGACCCTCTCCGGATAAACATAAACATTGAAATCATAAGAGTAAATACACACATACGAATCAACATGGAAATACATACACTTCTATATATGTTCTATATGTCTACATATTCACATACATACCCTCTGCCATCAAAAGGAAAGCACAGCGCCCTGAAGTGCCAGGCCTATATGCCGTGCCACACGGGCGTCATCACCGCCAAAAGCTTTCAGAAGCAGCTGTGCACGCGCATGGAACGTCAGGATGCCTGGGAAATGCAGGGGGTGGGACAATCTGTCCTTCTAGCAGTTCCTGGATGACCCAAGTCTCTCTCTCTCTCTCTCTCTCTCTCTTTACTAGGGCCCTCCGTGCAAACTGCCAAAAAACGCGCTGGCGGTGGAAAGCTTTGCGAACTCCGAATTCTTCACGTCCCAATGCCCAAAACCCCAAAGACCCAAGCCCCAAGACCTACACCCCAAACCCTGAGCCCCCTAACCCCCTCCCAAACACCAAGCCCCGGGCTCTCTCTCAACCTAACCCAAAACCCCCTCCCTCAAAAAGCCCTTCCCCCTCAAAAGGCCAAGCCCGGGCGCTGAGCCCCACGGCGCTGAGCTGGTGGAAGAGGATGAGGGCCAGGCTCCGGCGCCTCTCGGAGTGCAGACATAGAGCAAGCGAAGGAGTAAGTATGTTAAGAGAAGCATATCTACGCAGATCTATCTGTAGATACGTATGTATATATATATACACCGATGTAAATCGGGACGTGTATTTATGTACGTGTATAATAATATGTTACAAAGGTATTCCGGTGTTGAGGGCCCTTCCTTTTAGCTTTGTTGCTGCCATGGCTTTCAGCCCCTTGTGTTCAACTTTCTGCGGTCAGGTCTTTGTAGGTTTTGGAGTTGTGGGTGGGAGGGGGGGAGGGGAGTTGGGATTTTCGAGGGCTTTTTGATCTTCAGGTTCTTGAGGCTTCTTGGGTTTCGGGGGCTTGAGAGGCTTGAGGATTCGGCTTCTGGCAACAAAATACAGAAAATATATATATATATATATATACATATTCATAACTTATTTATTCATTCGTTTCTGCTCGTTTTGTTTGATTTTCTATGGGGGGGGGGTGTGCTATTAGGATCCTGATGAGGGTTTGGAGTTTCGGGCCTGCGGATCTGCGTGGAATCTTAGGGCATGGGTGTGAAGAAGACTTCAACGATCATTCGACGGATTTCGACGGCGGATGTAGCGATTGCTGGGGTACTTGCTGAGGGTCAACCTGTTCCACGCCTGCGCTATGGATGCTACATCCACTGGCTCTTTGCCCACAACAAGGTTCGCGGCAAGATGCAACCCTAAACTCTAGGGGGAGAGGGTTAGGGTTTAGGGTCCAATATTAGGGGAAGGAAGTAAAGTCCTAAACCGCAAGGAGGGAGCACCTCTTGCGCTTCTCCGCGTCGGCGGCATTGGCCTCACACGCGCCAATGCTTGCTCCAAGATTGACTATATTCAGTGAGGAAAACCGGATGTGTGGTATGGGTTGGTCCCTTGTGGACACGTCGATTGCCGCAGGGGACATGGTGGCATCTGAACAGATGAGACGAGTGTGACCATGTAGACAATGTTCAGAGATCCATTTTGCGGAAGCGATTGGGCCACATGCGCTTCAGGGCTGTCCTAAGTACAAGGGGATCCTACGAAGGTCCCACCAAGGTCCTACTAAGGTCCTACTATTTTGGGATCTATCTTGGGGGTCCCCTCTATGTGCGCAAACCCCGATCTGGCCTTGCCAACCAACGACAGGCTGGACTGGGCCGTGAAGAAGCGCCTCGGCCGATGATCGAGATCTGATAGAATCCTCAACCCTCAACCCGGTAGAACCAATATCCGCACATTTTTAGATGTCGGTATGTATATATCTAGATACATACACAATGTCACCTCACACAACATAGTAAACAAGTAAATAGACAACCAAGGAGTTAACTCAAAACAAATTCAAACCTATACTTCGACGTCCCAGGCCACTGAGGGTATGGGGAGGGGCCTAGTTTCAAACTCGGAACCGCTTTCTTCTTGTCCGCCTTCCTGCAGCAAGGCACCCGAGTTATGGGGTGCCAGCTTGAGCATCTCACTAGAGAGTGCCGGCGCGTCCGGGCCGAGCTCGCCGAACTCTTGCGGCACCCAAGCAGTTGCTTCTCCAGAGCATCTTTCACAGCCACGTCGGGTTTACGAGCTCAGTGCCTTTTGAGACGGTGCTTGCTGCAGAATAATTTTCAGGGGACTTCACTGTCACGTCCCCGCGAAGCTGACGGTTGTTGAAGCTGCAAGGCACACGGGTGTCTAGCAGCCGGAAGTTCAAATGCACAGCATAAAGAGAACATCGTCCACCAACCCGGGTGGGGATTGAGATATCTCCTCTGGGGCAGGTTTGGAGCCCCATCAAGGACGAAATCTTTATGGGTTATATGATTAAGGGTAATATATATATATATATATATATATATGAATATAGATATAGTTATATATATATATGTTTGTATGATTCTTTTTAAAACCCACCTTTGTCCTAGCTACCTCGAGGAGCGCACGGTTGCTGGCGGGCGGCTCTCGAGTCGGGGTTTAGGGTTTAGGGTTTAGGGTTTAGGGTTTAGGGTTTAGGGTTTAGGGTTTAGGGTTTAGGGTTTAGGGTTTAGGGTTTAGGGTTTCAGGGGGGTCTCCTTGCTGCCCTGCGGCTCCAAGCTCGGGGAGGAACTTGGGCTGGTTGTCATGCCCACTTCATGCAGCAATGGCTGGGGGTTACCATGTGCTACTAGTTCTTCCTTATAGGGCAATAGAGGGATTATTATTATTAGTTTTGTTCTTTTGGGGTTCTTAGGCAAATAGTACTGTGTTACCATGTCTAGTCTAGACCCAAGAATAGCCTAGGAACAAAGTGGGTGCTCTTTTCGGTTTAGAGGGGCTTATGAGGGAACCTAAACCCAAAAATAGGGAATAAGCGAAGGGCCTACTTGTTTGGATCTTAGATTCCGCATGCAACTCGCACAATGGCATGTTTTCTTCGGGCGCTGAGTATTCTGCACCTGGGGGCGAGGCTGGGCATTTGATTTGGCTTTGAAGAAGGCTGCGTGGTACAGTGTAAGTAGCGCTGCAAAGGCTAAAAGAAAAACGAAGACTCTTGGGGCTGCGATCCTGCAATCCAAGACGCCAGCAGAAGTCGGAACACTTCTTTTGTAGGGCCAGCTGTACAACAAGCACCCTAGGTATGTTGCGGTGAGACTTCTCCGCGTGCTCTTGGCACCTCCTGACATCTAGGATCACGGAGGTGGTGCGAAGCGTCTCTAAGCACGGAGCTGGAAGGGGTGTCTGTACAGGTTGCACTTGCAGCCCCAAGAGTACTGTGATCAATATACACAGGGTTTAGGGAGAAATGAGGACGGTTTGCTCGGGACCGGAAGTACATCCCCTCCCAAGTTCTCTCGACCACTGTGCACCCCCAAAATCGGGGAAAACTTGTAGAATCGAGCGTCCTCCTGATTCTCATCGATCCTATACCCCGACAGTAGGCTTGCTTCTTCATCAATCAGGACGACCCCGGAGTGAATTGTGATGAATTGTGGCTACACTTTGAGCTCGTAGCACGGACTTTGTTCACGCGCCAGCTCTGTACAACGCGTTTTCGGAGCTCAAATCCTTAGGGGCGCAGCAGCTCGGAAACAAATGCAGAGCAGTAGCCGCGTCGAAGGCGATGGTTTTGAGACCCTTGAGTGCCTCACACCTCAGTCTTGTTCACCACATCGGGAACATAGGCGGCCTCAGCAGTGGTTCTTCGCGGGTTTAGGGTTTAGGGTTTAGGGGCTTCACTTGAAGATCACAGAACGGGGGTGCAATTTGGGGGATGAGATCAAGAAACCCCGCGCGTTCAGAGTGCCGGCGACACTGCACACGGATGCTTGGCCTCATGTCTTTCGCTGCCTTAGAACCTGCTGAAAAAGAATCCTGAAGAGAAGCCTCTTAAACCCAATGAACGAAAAATGTGAGATATGGGTACTTCCCAAGATAAGGGTGTCTTAAATATGATTCAAAAGCGTTATAATCCTTCATATTCGGAAAAATATCCCTAAACCCTAAACCCTAAACCCTAGCCCTAAACCCTAAGCCCTAAACCCCCAAGGGCCTACCTGGCTACCGCACTCTGCGCAGCTCTCCAAGGCCCCCTGGCCGAGCGGTGCGGCATCCGCGTGGGAATTGCCTCGGCCTGCTCATGCTTTGGAAGCTCCAGAGGGCTTCTAGATGACATATATATATATATATATGTATACATATATATATATATATATACACATACATATATGTATATATGTAGTATTTTCATAGTGTATAAAGTATACATCGTATATATAGTAGATGTATATATGAATATTATAGAGTGTGCCTTCGAAAACAGAATTTTCATAGCATGCATAGATTTCTTTATGCATGTGTACCTACGTGCGTATGTAGGGATGTATGTAGTATGCGCGGAGAATCGTGTTTGGTTCGTGCTTGTGCGGTGCTTCCTTTCTTCGCCATTCGATAGCAATCCGAGTTGGGCTTCCTTCAACAAAAGCCACGCCACGATGTCTCCGAGTTTGTCATTTTCAGCTTCGGAATGCCCCAGTTTTCGTGCATACCCCACTCGTCAGTGGCTCATCAATGAAGAGGCATTTCTCATTAGCCCTCGATCCTAAATCCCAAGCCATTAGCAAATTAACCACCAAGCTCCCTTCCCCAGTTTGGGATTGTTGGCCCTAAACCCCAAACCCTTGGCCCTAAACCCTAAACCCTAAACCCTAAACCCCCTTCCCCCTTCTCCACATGTCGGCCGTTCCTGCGCGGCAGAAGCAGCTGGAGCTGGCCATTGCGGCACGAGGCCTGTCACGTCACCCCTCTCCTTCGGGGGAAGATGGCATAACCCATGTTTCTATGAGGTTTAAGGTTTAGGGTTTAGGGTTTAGGGTTTAGGGTTTAGGGTTTAGGGTTTAGGGTTTAGGGTTTAGGGTTTAGGGTTTAGGTTGGGATGTTCCCCCGTATACCAACAGTCTTTACTAGGGGTTGTGGTGCCCCCTGTTCCCTACTAAGGACGGTTAGTATAAGGGGGAACATCCCGAGGTTTGGGATTTAGGGATTGCTCTGCAAGAACAGCGCCAAAAAAATGCTTCCTAAAAGCCTAAAGCCCTTAGGCCCCAAACCCTAAGCCCTAAACCCTGCGCCCTTAACCGTGAACCCGAAACCCTAAACCGAATTCAGGCCCCATGTGTGCCTGGATCTTGCTTGCATCGACGTCGGCCGGGACTCGAATTGCCTCCTGGAAGCGGCCTGAGGCTTGAGGTTTCACTGGGGTTTAGGTTGGGGGGAGGGCGAATAACAATTAAGTATCTTATGGCTTTGTATTAAGGGGAAAAAGCAAAAAGCTCGACAATTAACTTCTTCTGTCTTTTCAGGAATAAATATTAGGGGATGAAGGGAAATAACGAATCACAAGAATGTTCCAAGCCACCACTGTTTAGAGCTCAGAGGAGGTTTGGGGTTTAGGGTCAGCTAGTGGCATGCGGGCATCGCTTCTGAAAGGATGGGGCTCTGATGGCATCTGGAATCATGGGTTCCAGGCGCAAGGTCTGGCCGACTTTGCCACATAGCGGGGGTTGCGGACAAATAAGACTCAGGAGTTTGTCTGAACCCGTGCCGAGCAGCCGAAACCGAAGGCGGCATAGTCCTCCGCAAAGCTTGCGAAAGTGTGGCACAACAGCAGAGTTTGACTTGAAGCTGAAGATGAGACTAGGAGGATTATCAACACGAAGGGGGGAACCTAAGCCTACAATGCCTTGATTGGGCTCGAAGGCCCCTATCTACATTGATCCCACTGCGCACCATCCCTTCGCCTCCGCCGTGGGCTCTCGGCGCAGGCGACGCCTGAGGAGGGCTGCGTCCTGCCGAGGCACAAGCTTGGAGCCTCACCTTCAAGACAAATCTCGGAGACTCTGCCCTCAAATGCCAAGGAAATGCTTGTGGGCAGCTGCTTCTGGCTGTTTGCGGCTGATGCATCGCAGCTGCCCGACACATCCAGACACCCTCCTGCACCGTTGGCCGCGCAACGCCGGCAAGGCGGAGGAGGTCGCCGTCAAGCTGTAGGTCGAGGTCCTTTTGCTTCCGCAGTCCATAAGAACAACCTCTACATCAGATACACTTGTGGCATCACCCCCAGTGAAGATCTCGGGATGACGGGCTTCTAGACCTCTGCCTGCAGCATGATCAAAGCGTTTGCGCGCCTCTGCTGCAACACCCCGACCTTCCGCTGAGACCTGAGCTGACCAGCAAATCACATCCTCTGATCAAGTCGGGCATGTCGGGCCCTGGAAGCTGCATGCGTGCAAATCCTGCTGTACAATCGCTTTTCGCCGGTACACTGTGAAGTAGGTGCAGTAGCGCCCCGGCCCCGCAACACAACATGCCGATCGGGGACCCCCGATTGGCGGAAAGGAAATGCAACAAAACGCTGTTGTGCTGATGGCGCTCGGGAGCCCGCGGAAAAAGAATACGTCGAACGTCGGTACACTCCCACGTTCGCGGAAGAAGGGCAAGAGGCCAACGCTCGGATCCACTCGGGGGCGCAAACGTGCGCCGACACGCCGATCGGCCCCTCACCCCCGTGTCCCGCCCCCTGCCCCCCCTCCCCGTGTATCGGCGCGGGCGAGCGCCGAAAGAGGAGCAGGGAGGTGTACTGGTGTACCGGTTTATCGCTGTATATCAGTGCAGACGTGCAGGGATTAAACGGACCGAAGCAGTGTTTTCATTGGTGCACGGCCGTTTCGCCGTTACGCCGGACGGTTGGTGCGATGCTGTGTAGACGATGCTGTCTGCCGTCACCTGCAACATTGTTTGGCGCCAGAGTTAACCCCAGTATGAGAGCCAACGATCTTCGCATGTAAGCTCCTTCTCTTTCCTAGTTGCTGAGTACCCTGGGCCAGCTAAGGCCAACCCTTCAATTGCGGAAGGAGTATATGTACCCCAAAAGGCGAAACAAGGCTCCCCACTCAGCTACTAGGAACCCCCAAAAGGCTTAAAAGGTTCCCTCCTCATCTGCTAGGATTGGAAAAAAAATTAAACCCTAAACCCTAAACCCTAAACCCTAAACCCTAAACCCTAAACCCTAAACCCTAAACCCTCAGCTACCTAGGACTCCGAAGCTAAGGCCGCTGCCAGGTATCCCTGTGGCATCTCTTGGGAGCGCAGTTTGAGCCTGCACCTCCAAAGTCCCATATTTTGGGGGGTGTCCGAACATAGGGTTGAGGGTTTAGGGTTTAGGGTTTAGGGTTTCCCCTAAAATAGCCCCTGCCAAAAGAGGAGGATTCCCTTACAATACGGAGCCCAATAAGGCACCCCCCGAATATCGGAAAATATTTTTGGGGAGCTTCCTAAAATAGGGTTGAGCTCTTGTTGGGGGTTCCTATAATGGGAGCTAAGGTGTTTAAGGTGTTTAGGGGGTATATTGAGGGAACCCCTACTTTTGGGGAATCTGCACATGCCTAGAATCCCACGTCCATGTCTGATCTTCACCCGGATTGCGAGCAAGAGTTTCTCGAACTTGGCCGCCGTGCACCTTGCCTGACTTCTTCTGGCTGTTGAGAACCTTGGACTGACCTGCACAGCTCGCAGCACCCTAGTACCGTAGGTTTCCGTTCAGCTTGAGAAGCCGGCCTGGCTGGTGATTCCGCGTCGTCGGTGGGCGAGGACTGCCAGAAACTTCTCGGAAGACGTGGACAGCAGAAAGCATGGTCAGAACAGAGCAGTCGCCGTGTCTCCAAGCTATTTGGGCTCCCTCACGCGCTCACGCATTAGGTAGCAAACTTCACACGTGAAACCTCTCTACTCCAACTGCCACAAAGTTTGGGGTTCCAGGATGTGTTGCTGAACCCCCGTGATCCCCCTGAAGAGGCGTGAAGCCCAAAACCACATCCATCCTGTGATCCCGCAAACAGCCTCTTCGTGGGGATTTTGCTGAAACCCGGCAACCCTAATCGCCCATCCTTTGGTCTATACTCCCCTTAGAACCTTAATACAACTAATATTGTTCATATCCTCTTGGGGTTTGTATAAACAAGAATAAACAATAAGTCCCAAGGGGGATATAGTGGTTCCGGGTTCTTCATGGTTCATGCAGGGGCCTGAGCTGCATCTTCGGCCGCGGCAGCATCCTGATTGCTTGGAGCTAAGGGCTTCAGGTTTTGGGGGTTACTTAGGGATAGAAACCCTCGAAACCGCAAGCCCTAAGCCATTAATCCCTAAGGTTGAAAGTCATCAAGAACCGCCACACCACCACCTGACTTCCTCATGTCCACTGGAAGGCACGCCCCCAGTTCTCTGGGTCCGCCTCTGTCGAGTCAGCTGAGTACTCTTCCACATCCTTGGGGATCTCTTGCTGTGTCGTCGATCCAGCCTCATGGCGTATGGTAATCAATGTTTCCGGTATTGTATCAAGTTGTTGGGAACCGGTTCTTGTGGGACCTTCGGGTGAATCGTGGACGCGCCCAGCAGATCACCCTGCTTTGCGGAAGGAACGCTGGGGTTAGATTTGAAATCAACCAGTCTCCTACCCACTCCTCGCGCGGTGCGGCCAGGTCCCTGGACCCCTGGAGTGGCCATCTTAGAGAAGCCGGAAGAGAGAGTCCTGCCGAGTGGCCCTCCAGTCCTGCAGAAGAGAAAGAGTCCCGCCGAGTATTTTTGGAGTGCCCACCCGCAGAGAATTCCGCAGAGAGTCCCGTGACGCCTGGTTGCTGTAGATGTGGGATGGGATGATCGAAGTTGACATTTTGTTTCTGATGCGTCTATGATATTCTTTGCGTTTCTAGCTCTAGATGGGTCCTTTGGGGATATGCTTGCCTGTACTGGGCCGTATCTGAGAACCCAGAAAGATGCAAGAGCCAATGGAATCAGTGCAACGCGGCCCTTGATTTCGGAGGAGCAGTGTGTGCCCGCAAGTGAACAATTCACGGAAAGGCCCGCCCAGAACGTGAATGTGCGAAAGACGAACACATGAACTCTCATCAAGTTGCTAAACCAGCAACCCTAAACCCTAATTAAACCCTAAACCCTGCAACCCTAAACCCTACACATATAGGGCCTACTTAGAGATGGGCCTCCAGTTCCTTCCGTCGCTTCAGCAGCTGCGCTTTGGCAGAATCCACCTGGGGAACAAGGCGGGGTTGGGTTTAGTGGTTTAAGGGTTTAAGAGTCTAAGGGTTTAAGGGTCTAAGGGTCTGAGGGTTTCAGGGTTTAAGGGCTAAAGGGTTCAACGATTTTAGTGCTTGAGGTTGAAGGTTGCACAAGGGCCCCTTTGTTGTGTACTTTGCATAAGGGACCCGACCTTCAAGGGGGACCTAGTGGGTTTGGGGTGGGGTTGAAGGTTCAAGTGGGTTTCAGAGGGTGTCATAATGGTTTCTGCAAGGTTCCATGCGTGGTTCTAGGATTTCCGAGGATGCCACGACATTCAGGGTTTTGTAGACACCTTCTGGGTTTACCGCGCTTGGTTGGGGCTTGGGTTCGCTGTAAAGCCCCGCACATCATGAGCATCAAAGCCCGCGAGCATCAGCCGGCAAAAGCCCGCGCATCATGAGCATCAGCTGGCAAAGTCCGCGAGCATCAGCCGGCAAAGCCCGTGCATCATGAGCATCAGCTGGCAAAGTCCGCGAGCCTCAGCCGGCAAAACCCGCGCATGATGCGCATCAGCTGGCAAAGTCCGCGAGCCTCAGCCGGCAAAGCCCGTGCATGATGCGCATCAGCTGGCAACGTCCGCGAGCATTAGCCGGCAAAGCCCGCGCACCATGAGCATCAGCTGGCAAAGTCCGAGAGCATCAGCCGGCAAAGCCCGCACACGATGAGCAACAGCTGGCAAAGTCCGCGAGCATCAGCCGGCAAAGCCCGCGCATCATGAGCATCAGCTGGCAAAGTCCGCGAGCATCAGCCGGCAAAACCCGCGCATCATGAGCATTAGCTGGCAAAGTCCGCAAGCCTCAGCCGGCAAAGCCCGTGCATGATGCGCATCAGCTGGCAACGTCCGCGAGCATTAGCCGGCAAAGCCCGCGCACCATGAGCATCAGCTGGCAAAGTCCGCGAGCATCAGCCGGCAAAGCCCGCACATGATGAGCATCAGCTGGCAAAGTCCGCGAGCATCAGCCGGCAAAGCCCACGCACCATGAGCATCAGCTGGCAAAGTACGCGAGCATCAGCCGGCAAAGCCCGCGCATGATGAGCATCAGCTGGCAAAGTCCGCGAGCATCAGCCGGCAAAGCCCGCGCATCATGAGCATTAGCTGGCAAAGTCCGCGAGCATCAGCCGGCAAAGCCCGCGCATCATGAGCATCAGCTGGCAAAGTCCGCGAGCATCAGCCGGCAAAGCCCCCGCATGAGGAGCATCAGCTGGCAAAGTCCGCGAGCATCAGCCGGCAAAGCCCGCGCATCATGAGCATCAGCTGGCAAAGTCCGCGAGCAGCAGCCAGCAAAGCTCGCGCATCATGAGCATCAGCTGAGCATCAGCCGGCAAAGCCCGCGCATCATGACCATCAGCTGGCAAACTGTAAGCATCAGCGGGAAAGCCGCGCATTTTGAGCATCAGCTGGCAAAGCCCACGAGCATCAGCCGGCAAAAGCCCGCGCATCATGAGCATCAGCTGGCAAAGTCCGCGAGCATCAGCCGGCAAAGCCCGCGCATCATGAGCATCAGCTGGCAAAGTCCGCGAGCATCAGCCGGCAAAGCCCGCGCATCATGAGCATCAGCTGGTAAAGTCCGCGAGCATCAGCCGGCAAAGCCCGCGCATCATGAGCATCAGCTGGCAAAGTCCGCGAGCATCAGCCGGCAAAGCCCGCGCATCATGAGCATCAGCTGGCAAAGTCCGCGAGCATCGGCCGGCAAAGCCCCCGCATGAGGAGCATCAGCTGGCAAAGTCCGCGAGCATCAGCCGGCAAAGCCCGCGCATCATGAGCATCAGCTGGCAAAGTCCGCGAGCAGCAGCCAGCAAAGCTCGCGCATCATGAGCATCAGCTGAGCATCAGCCGGCAAAGCCCGCGCATTTTGAGCATCAGCTGGCAAAGCCCACGAGCATCAGCCGGCAAAGCCGGCGCATCATGAGCATCAGCTGGCAAAGTCCGCGAGCATCAGCCGGCAAAGCCCGCGCATCATGAGCATCAGCTGGCAAAGTCCGCGAGCATCAGCCGGCAAAACCCGCCAATCATGAGCATCAGCTGGCAAAGTCCGCGAGCATCAGCCGGCAAAACCCGCCAATCATGAGCATTAGCTGGCAAATTCCGCGAGCATCAGCCGGCAAAGCCCGCGCAGCATGAGCATCAGCTGGCAAAGTCCGCGAGCATCAGCCGGCAAAGCCCGCGCATCATGAGCATCAGCTGGCAAAGCCCGCGAGCATCAGCCGGCAAAGCCCGCGCATCATGAGCATCAGCTGGCAAAGTCCGCGAGCATGAACCGGCAAAGCCCGCGCATCATGAGCATCAGCTGGCAAAGCCCGCGAGCATCAGCCGGCAAAGCCAGCGCATCATGAGCATCAGCTGGCAAAGCCGTGAGCATTAGCCGAAAAGCCCGCGCATCATGACCATCAGCTGGCAAACCGTACGCCTCAGCGGGAAAGCCCGCGAGCATCAGCCGGCAAAGCCCGCGCATCATGAGTCATGAGCATCAGCTGGCAAAGGCCGCGAGCGTCAGCCAGCAAAGCCCGCGCATCAGGAGCATCAGCTGGCAAAGCCCGTTAGCATCAGCGCGAAAGCCCGCGCATCATGAGCATCAGCTGGCAAAGCCCGCGAGCATCAGCCAGCAAAGCCCGCGCATCATGAGCATCAGCTGGCAAAGCCCGTGAGTATCAGCCGTCAAAGCCTGCGCATCATGAGCACTCCGTCCCTCAGCTCAGCCAGTGAGGCGAGTCACCGGCTCTCTAAAATGTAGGGGGTCCATGGTCTACAACGTACCCCTTTAGAGAACTGCCCACGTGGGTTTGTAGCAACTGAGATGTAGGGAATGGTCGGACAGGTGTGTTCTATTCAGTTCGGAGCCGAAATGGGTCCCGCAGTTCAAAACGGAAAAAAAGAGGCCTTAAAAATTAGGGGGGGGGCAATGCGGGCAATGGTGGATTATATAGGGAACATATTCCGGCCCCTGCAGTCGGTGGGTTCAACTTTGGTGGAAAGTCCCTCTCCCAGGGACTTCAGCCCTCGCCTGGTCGACCAGGTCGTCGAGCTGCGCCAGCGCGAGCTTGCGCACCTCTTCGAACCCTAAACCCTATAAACCCTAAACCGCAAACCCTAAACCCTAAACCGAGTGGGATTAGGCGTGGCTCACAGATGAACATGCCCTAAACCATATACCGTTCCGAAACCGTCCAGCGAAACCCTCAACCCTAACCTCCCCCTCTGCCGCCAATAAACCCTACGGCCCAGACCCTAAACCCCAAACCCCAAACCCCACTTGGGCCTCGCGGTCTTCCTGGTAGAGGCCTCGCGAGGTGCGCTCTAAAACTGGCGGGGGGTTGTAATCTGCGAGCATAGTCTTGAAGCCCGGTGCCTCCCAGCGAGTCCAGCTTCAGCATGTCCTCCAGAAGGTCTTCTCCTTCATCCGGCATCGTTTCAAGGATTCTCAGGGAGTTTTTCGAGAGGCGCTTGGGTAGGGCATCAGTAGGGCCGCTAGGCATCTCGGGCTTAGGGCTGGCTTCCCCAAGGCATCCCCAGGCCCGGCGAAATGCCGCCGAGCATCCGATGTTGCGGGCCGTCTTCCTTGGTGCCGGGGTTACGAATGGGTTCTTCGGGAGACACGGCTGCATTGCAGTAAGCCCTTGAAAGGCTCTAGGGGCTTGGGGGGCGTCTTTAATGTAGTGTTCTATGCAGTCCTTCTCGGCTCTGGCTTAGGTGAAGATTCCGTTTACCAAGAACTCTCAACTCTAAAGGCCCCTGAAGCCAACATTCTCCGACATCCTCGGCGCGGACACACAAAAGCACACACACACACAGACGCAGAGCATGGAGCAAACATCAGCCCGAGTCGCTGCTGTCGGATGATCTCCTGCGTTTCGTGCGCAAGCAACGTGATTCCAAGGCCGTCGACCCGGAATCTCCGCAGGCCTAGGCCCCTTCTCCTCTTCCTGCTACTGCTGCTACTGCTACTGCTACTGCTAAAACTAGTACTAGTACTAGTACTAGTACTAGTACTAGTACTACTACTACTACTACTACTACTACTACTACTACTACTACTACTACTACTACTTCCTCTGCTACTACTACTCCTACTACTACTACTCTACTACTACTACTACTACTACTACTACTACTACTACTACTACTACTACTACTACTACTACTACTACTACTACTACTACTACTACTACTACTACTACTACTACTACTACTACTACTACTACTACTACTACTACTACTACTACTACTACTTCTACTTCTACTTCTGCTACTACTTCTACTACTGCTTCTACTACTACTTCTACTACTACTTCTACTATTTCTACGACTTCTACTACTTCTACTACCACTCCCACTACCACGACTACGACCACGACTACTACTGCCATCAAGATTGATTGACAATGACAACAACAAGCAGCACCTACAATCATTACGGCACATAGACCCAATAAACGATTTGTACTGAAACATGACAGACGACAGTCGCAATGTTAAGTAAGGAATTACGAAAAACTGTCTATCGAACAAAGATAATACATGATAGACGTCACAAGTACGGCAATAAACCAGAAGTCGCCATCTGTGATGAAAAGGAGGCTTATGTCTGAGTTCGCTGGGCAATCGTCGAAAAAAGAGCAGGACAAGCTTGCAAGATATCTCCTGGAGCACGTCTGCGGGCGCATCGCCGTCGTGAGCCAGGGAGCCAGCGGCAGCCTGCGGTGTGGAACCGCTGAGCCCACAAGGCCTAAAGGCCCTCGACCCCAAATTTCCGCACGACTTCCGAATGGCCGAAGCCTCTACCGAAGCCTCCTCGAAACCAGCAAAGTGTCCCCACTCCCCTCCCCCTCCCGGCCAGGAGCTCGCGCACGGGCTGCTGCTGACCTTCGAGGCGCTGCTGCACCTGATGCACCTCTCGACTTAGCGGGGTTTTGAAGCTCAGGGGGGGCATGTTGTTGCTGGTTGCAAGGGTGGGCTCGAGACCTTACAATTCGGATTCCTTCGAGGGCTTTAGGCTTTCAGGGGGCCTACTGTGCTTCGGGTGAAGACTTCGGACTTTGAGGCTCTCCCACCCCTCCACCTAAAGAGCCCAATACCCCTGAACTAAGGAATATGCCTGAAATGATATAGGGATCTCTAGTATGATCTAAGGAATATTCCTCAGTTAAGGGCTTCTTCGCAGCCTCCCTACACCCGCATTGCCCCAAACTCATCCCTCCCGCTTTGCTGGGGCCTTCAGCTGCTTCTCAACCTGGCAGTGGCAGCAGGGGGTGGGGAGGGGCTAGCGAGTAGGGTTGAGGGTTTTGGGTTTAGGTGCTAAAAAAAGGCATTGGGGCACCAATGTGCATCTTTTGTGGCACTTTTCCCAGCAATCTGGATCTCTACGACCGGTTTTGTGGTTGAGTGCTTTTGCCTTTCGCCTCTTCCTTGCCCACGTCTTGCAGGTGTTCTTGAGGACCAAAGTGAAGCATGACAAGATAGCACAACAAAAGAACCATTGGATAGTTCTCTAATTAGTACATTGCTGAACTGAACTGAAACACGCCGTAACACGGTCCACCTCGGCATGAGAGCTGCACAATGCAAGCACAACACTGAACTCGGCATCCAAAAAGGTTTCAGTGCTAAAGGCTGCTTGCGCACTTCAAGTCATCAGAGAAAAACCAGAGTTGTAGCCATTTATGTTGACCGCATAGCATATGCAGGATTTAAGCATCGGCCGCACTCGTCGTGACAAGTTCATGCACTGGGAATAACGGCCTCCCCTGTCAACAGCATGCATCCTCCTTTCGTAGCCAGGATGCGAGACTTACCATGCATGGTGCCCAGAGCACCTTCCTGGCCGGCTTGCCCCCCAACAGGCGCGTTAGCCCATCGCCCTGCTGTCATTCGCCAAACTCACCCATGGCGTGTTGGCCCCAAGGAGCATGGGGAATACCCGTTGCAAGCTGCGCCCCACACCGGGCCGATGGTGTGGAAGGAGTGCGTGGATGGGGTGATGCTATCTCCTTCTGGGTAGGGCGGAGACGACAACGAACTGAAGCCGGAAGGCTCTGGCATGCCAACCTCATCGTGTCAAGCTCAACGCGAACTAAGCAACAAACATGTCGATTCTGCATCTGCCAAGAAGGTCCCAAACAGAATGCTTACATCCTCCCCTGTCAACAGCATAGGATGCGAGACTTACCATGCATGGTGCCCAGAGCACCTTCCTGGCCGGCTTGCCCCCCCAACAGGCGCGTTAGCCCATCGCCCTGCTGTCATTCGCCAAACTCACCCATGGCGTGTTGGCCCCAAGGAGCATGGGGAATACCCGTTGCAAGCTGCGCCCCACACCGGGCCGATGGTGTGGAAGGAGTGCGTGGATGGGGTGATGCTATCTCCTTCTGGGTAGGGCGGAGACGACAACGAACTGAAGCCGGAAGGCTCTGGCATGCCAACCACATCCTGTCAAGCTCAACGCGAACTAAGCAACAAACATGTCGATTCTGCATCTGCCAAGAAGGTCCCAAACAGAATGCTTACATCCTCCCCTGTCAACAGCATAGGATGCGAGACTTACCATGCATGGTGCCCAGAGCACCTTCCTGGCCGGCTTGCCCCCCCAACAGGCGCGTTAGCCCATCGCCCTGCTGTCATTCGCCAAACTCACCCATGGCGTGTTGGCCCCAAGGAGCATGGGGAATACCCGTTGCAAGCTGCGCCCCACACCGGGCCGATGGTGTGGAAGGAGTGCGTGGATGGGGTGATGCTATCTCCTTCTGGGTAGGGCAGAGACGACAACGAACTGAAGCAACCGCTGTCGAGCTGTCGCAGACGACTCGGAACGCTCTGGCATGCCAACCACATCCTGTCAAGCTCAACGTGAACTAAGCAACAAACATGTCGATTCTGCATCTGCCAAGAAGGTCCCAAACAGAATGCTTACGGCCTCCCCTGTCAACAGCATGCATCCTCCTTTCGTCTAGACCCAAGAATAACCCAGGAATAAAAAGGGTGCCCGTTTTGGTTTGAAGGGGTCTGTCAGGGAATCTAAACCCTACAGAAACGGAACAAGGGCCTACTGGGAAAGGACAGGGGCCTGCGACTCTGTGCGATCGAGCGCTGCCACGCCCTCTTCTGCCTGGGCACACGAACAGCCGGTTTAGGGTTTAGGTTTAGGGTTGGTTGTCAGAAGCTTCGGTGGAAAAATCTGCGCCTTTTGTTGTGATCGCTTGCGGGATGGGAGCAGATTGGATTTGAAGTCTGTGCTCTGCTATGCACCTTCAGAAGCAACTGATTACCCTAAACCCTAAAACCTAAACCCTGAACCCAAAACCCTAAACCCTGAACCCGAAGCCCATCAGTCCCGGAGCCTCAGAGGAAGGACCCTATTTGTCCGAAGGGACATCTTATGAACTCTCTCTTGCGGACGAAGATCCAAGGAATACCGCATCTGCTGCACATCTGCTGCCGCCATTGGCAAGAGGATAAGGGAGATCTGGAGTGGTAAGAACAAGCTTTGAGTGTACAAGGCCTGCAGCGCCCGACTCTCGACAGCGTGAGCTTCCACATCGCTAGCGCGCAAGAAAAGGGCGTCGCAAGAGCGAAGTCGACCAGCATTTCCGAGTCATCTGCACTGTTCATTGAAAGCTGGGTTTGCAAGGCGACCCGTATACCCTAAGGCTGTCAAGGCCCCTCGGGCAAGCCATTTGGATCCTCGCAAGCGAAAGGACGTCTCTCACATCCGCTCGAGCCCCATCCTCAGCAGCTTCTGTAGGTCCGTAGGTGCTCTGCTTCAAGGATGCGCGCCATTCAAGATGGAGCTCGAGGTTGAAAGGCCTTGCGGAGCCTCCTATGTACAAGGGTTTGGGGGCGGGGGGAGGGGGGCCATCGCTCCCTTCAGGGCTTTGGGGGTATTTGGGGCAGGCCCGCCCACCCCATTCTCTTCCCATGAAGTACCAGCTCTCGTGACTTCTGAGGAGCTGACGTCAGGGGTTTGGAGGAGCCCTTGCCCTCTCAGTCCGGGTTTTGGGTACTTCTGAGTTTCTTGGAGCTGCTCTCGTCTCGGCATCTCTGGCGCCATGCTCATCCGCTCTTATCCTCGGCGGGATCGGTCTTCAGTGCTCGTGAAGACTCGGTTTCAGTTAAACCCTAAACCCTCCGAAAGGCTGGAACTTCAACCTCTTCGTGGATCCTCTCTTTTCTTATCTCCTTTGCCGGGATGTCGACCTATGGCCCGGTGAAGAAGCACATCGCACGCCCCGACCCAGAAACTTTCAGCCCTTGCCCTAAACCCTAAACCCTAAACCCTAAACCCTAAACCCTAAACAATAGACCCTAAACCCGGCCGAGGCTCTTGGCTTTCCTCCTCATCCTCCTCCTCGCTCTCGTCCTGCTTTACTTCGACTAAGGCGGCCATCCCCAAGTGTGTTGATACCGCCGTTACGGCCACCATGGAAAACTCCATATCAGTCGCTTAAGAACCCCCCCCCCCAAAAAAAAAAAAGGATTAGGAATAATTGTCCCAATATTGCCGGAGTGAGGAAGAAGACATTTTTTTTGGGTGGTTCTGGAGGCAAGTCGTCGAATCCTGAAGGGAACTTGACCCACGCCTCGCTGCCGCTGTCGTACGCGCCCAAGCCAAGGCCGGTTGCCTCTGCAAGAAGCATGCAGCTCGGACCCAACAAAACGCACCTCCAGCTTAATGACTCTTAGGCTTTATAGGGTTTTTCAGTGGGGTTCAAGCTGCGAGGCCTGTGCCTGCTGTTGCTTTTTTTTGGGCCGGCGGGAGCCCATTGGCTTTCCGAGAAGGGGCATTAGCTGCAGATGTCCACGCGCTGTTTCACCCCAACACAGGCTCTGTGATAACAGCTTATGAAACGACGAACGCTGTTAAACATCCGCAACACTAAGCCCTCAAGACAACCTAGAGACCTGGAGTCTCCAACCGGTGCGAAACTCCTAACCCCGAAGCCTTCAACCTGTACTGACCTTTAGACTCATAATAAAAGAACATGTTGTTACAATCTTCCTCGGGTTTCTAAATATAACCACATGCACGATTCCTGCCTACTATAGGGGCCTTAATACTTAAAGTGGGGTTTTGGGGATTACAATAGTCTAACTATATAGGGACCATCTTAGGGGATAATATATATATATATCTTCCGCATCCTATATGGGGCTTTACGAAAAGAAGGGAACCCCTAAAATAGATCCCACGTAGTAGGATTCCCTTGCAAATAGAAGGCCCCAACTTGCCCCCCAACAAGGTACCCCTAATATCGCAAACCCCCCAAGTCTCTTGGGTTTTGGGGGTTATTCTTGTAGTATAACTATACAGTTCGCTGTATTGGATTTTTCGATCCAGTTCGATGCGACGCCGGAGGACGTCGGCGTTTTCTTACGCGTATTGGGCGGCGACGACGAAAGCGCGCTGTGGAATTACGAACGGGGAAGTTTCTCCTCGACGGCGCAGATGCAACGTCGGAATACGTTCCAAATATGCGTTGCACGATTTTTGACGTTGGAATTCGAAATCAAAGACGCATCCACGGACGGACTTGTAACCATACCCTAAAGGAATGATATTCAGCAACCACTCCGAGCTTTTAAACTCCCAAGGTCCTCCGCCCAAGGAGCGCCTCCGGCGCCGCAGCGGCAGCGGGCGCCTCTTGGACCTCCTCCTCCGCGACCTTTGGCTTCTTGACCACCTCGGGCTTTTGCGGGGTTTTTTTGGGGGCGGGGGGTTGAGGGGTTAAGGGCTTGAGGGTTTAGGGGCTCAGGGAGGATTTATGGGGGCTTCGGGGCTAGGGCTTGAGGGTTTAGGTGTTTAGGGAGGGTTTTTTGGGGGGTTTAGGGGCTACTGTAGGGCTTAAGAGCTTAGGGGCTCAGGGTTTAGGGAGGGTTTTGGGTTTAGGTTCTGATGCTTACTAGGAGGGAGGGAGGAGGGAGGCTGTTTCGGAATTGGAGGGAGTTTTGGGCATAGTCCAAGGTAAACAGTGGGTACTATAGGGTCGGGATAATTACTAATAATATTCCTTTATGGTCCCTTCATAAAAAAGCAATAGCCCCCCCAAACCCGATTCTAATCATTTAGGCCCCTATGCTAGACGGTGGGCTGCAAGGGGATCATCGAGGCAATTTTTTCGGCTCTTGTCTTCAACCTCGCGCTCTCGACATCTGACGAGCTCCCGACCATAGACTCCACTGTTTTGGAACCCCTCCTTAAGAATCATGACTTTTCGGGTCCCTTAGAAAAACAATACACCGACTACCAAAATGACTTGGGATGTTCCCCCTTATTAACAATCCTGAATAGAGATTGTAGCAGCCCCCCAGTAGAATCCATATTAAGGACGGGGAACATCCCAATCTATGACCGCGTGGGGAAAAAGGCTTTGAGCTCGCGGCCACGACGCTCGGCTTCTTCTTCTTGGCATCCGCTTGGGCCTGGAGTCGTTCCGAGGGGAGCAGGTAAATGGGGTTTCCGAAGTTCGGGGTACCTTAATTGGGGTCCTTCGTGTAAGGGAATCCTACTATTTGGATGTTTTTCTTTTCGGTTATTTTCGGAAACTCCCAGATCGTGGTGTTTGGAGGGCCCAGCACTGATGGAAGATTGTGCGCCAATGTCGAGGCCTGAGCGAAGCATCTGGGATCTCCGGCAGCCAATCGCCCCCCCCCGTCTCCCTGCAGCAAAAAGCAGCAAACGCAACAAGAAGAAACCAACAACAAAAACGACCCCAGGACAGCAAACCCCAAAACCCTAAAACCCTCAACTCCCTGACTCCGAAAGCTCCTTCGACCCTGGCCCCTTCCCGGAAACTCCAGAACCCTTTAATTAAGGAATACCTTAAATTATACTAGCAACCCTAGTATGATTTACGGGATATTCCTCAATTAAGGGGTTATTCGAGGATGTGCGGGTCTCTGCTGACCGCCCAACCCCGGCCTGCCGGAGGCCAGAGAAAAGCGAAGCCGTCGGGGCTTTCACCTGGCGCTGCGGAACCCTTTCGGGTTTAGGGCTTAGGGTTTAAGGTTTAGGGTTTAAGGTTTAGGGTTGGTTGGTTGAGGGTTTTGGGATTAAGGTTGGGGGCTTGGGGGGGATGATTCAGGGCTTAGGGCTTGTGAGGGAATCGGAACGGGCAAAGGGCGGTCTTCAGGAGTTGAGGGAGCTTCACGGGGCTTGCAAGGGTTGCTTGGGCTGAAGGTTGGCGAGCATCAAACTCCCCGGAGTAGTCTTTAAAATCTAGTCCCTCCTGGGTTTGCTATTACAAGGTGGGCCCTGAAAAACACATACATATATGCACACACATATGTATATATATATATATACACATATATATGGGCTGAAAGAGTTCAACGAGGGTAGGCCAGGAAAAGCTGGGGTTAAACGTATATCTAGCTCCGAAATCCTAAGCCCTAAGCCCTAAACCCTATTGCCAGTATCACTCCAACGGACCTCCCCGTCGGCTTTCGCCATCTCCTGGAGATGGGAGTTGGCAGTTCGTAGGTTGGGTTAGGGTTTAGGGTTTAGGGTTTCGGGTTTCGGGTTTCGGGTTTCGGGTTTCGGGTTTAGGGTTTAGGGTTTAGGGATCAGGGTTTAGGGTTTAGGGTTTGGGGTTTAGGGTTTGGTGTTTAGGGTTTAGGGTTTGCTAGGTTAGGATGCAGATAGGGGCTTGCTTCGTCAGGTGCGAAGATTTTCCATGAAAACTTGAAGTTTCAAGTCGAAGGCCACGGGAACACCAATTCTTCCGAAAGAATGAAATGTTATCTGAAGGCATGTTTGCAGGAAAAACTGACGTTTCGAGCCGAGGGCAATTTCTACAACAAAACTTCAATTTCCAAGTGAAGGCCGTGGGAACATCATGTTCATGAAAAACTTGAAGCTTCAAGCCCAGGGCACCGACGACGCCAATTGTCATGAAGAACTTCAGGTTTAAGCTAAGGCCACGGAGAAGCCACACCTTGTTAATAGGATATTTCTAAAATTTTGAAAACAGTAGCCACACCTTGTTAATAGGATATTTCTAAAATTTTGAAAACAGTATGCCAAAGTTTTTTTTCTACTTCCCCCCCCCCCCCCCCCAAAGGTGCAAGGAGGCTTTCAAGGAAAACAAGAAAAGCGCAAAGAGGATTGCTTCAGAAAACCGCTCAAAACTCGAGTCTTAGCAGTGAGCGCACAAATAACGCTCGCATTTTTCCTGGCTTTTTTACCTTTCATGATATAATTCGCTTGTTAAAAAAAGTCCAAGTAATGATATACGAAAAGATAAGAAAGTAGTAAAATTAAAGGGGAATGTAAATTATCCTACTCACTTCGTTTAAAACTTTTCGAATATTGGAAACCCATTAGAAGCATATTAGCGTTATCAATATCTTTCCCTTGGAAACATCGTAGGCCAAGACAGTGCGCGTGTGCCCGGGCGAGGACGCGCTCATGCCCTCGAACGTGGCGTAGACCCTGGTCTTGATCTTGGCCCTCATTCATGGCCCCGGCGCAGTCCACATAGGCTGCTGGTGTGGATGCCAGCAGCTGGAAGGCGGCGCATAGACAAGAATCACGGGAGATGTCCTAAAATGGTTCGCGAAAGATTGTGAGGCAGAATATACATAAGAGGGGTTTAGAGAAAGATCTAAAAAAGACGAATCTCGAAGATCTATAGGAAACATTAAAGAGAAGAACTTTTAGCCAGCAGTCAAAAAACACGCGGGCACGATTACGAATTTTTGAAATAAGATTAAACAAGATTTTGACAGCATGATAAGAAACAGATAAAATTCTATATATGTTTTTCGTCTTTCACGAATCTTCCCACCCCCTTAACATCAACATTATTCGGAACACGATCGCGCAGCATTATTCATATCTTATCACAATAAATTAAGACACAAAGATTTTACAAGTAATTACGCACGCAAGATGAGCCATATTCAAAAAATCCAGCGGTTACGCAAACCCATTTTCAAGACCATCAATAATACAGAAAATATAAGATACATGAGAATTCCCCCTCTGTGATTAGTCAGTATGAATCAGACTCCTATATTCTTAATCTGAAGAAACATTTTGAAAGATTAAACTTTTGTCCAAGTCTTAAAAAATGACGTACTAACACACTGGTAACCGAAACTGGTAACCGT